ATTTTACAACATATTATCTACACCGTCCATTTTCAAGATTTTGTAGATCTACTTGATTTTAACAGTTTTTTTAATTTAAAATTTTATAATTGGATATAAAAATAGATTTTGAGATAACCTTAATAATATTTTACATCAAAATTATATACCATGATAAAATTTGAAGGGCACTGTACCTCTACAAAGGTGTCTGTATGCAAACTGCACCCATCTAACAAAGCTTCATAGATACTAGGTTTCACGACTTCAAGAAGAGAAAAAGAGAAGAGGGAGAGAAGAGATAGAGAAGAGAGAATTTAATATTCATGGAGAGAGAAGAGAGCAATGGAGATGAGAGGCAAGAGTGGAATGGCAATGGCAAGGATAAAGAGTAGAAAGTGGCCAGGGTGACAAAGAGACAGAAAAGAGAACTCGAGGAGAGAGAAGAAAAAGCTCGAGAAGATAATGGCAATATTCAAGGAGACGAGAGAACACAGAAGACAGGAGAGAGCAATGGTGCTGATGAGAGACTCGTTAGGTTTTCGAGGAGAGAGAAGAGATTAGGGATAAACATTTTTTTTTTTCATTTCTAAAAGAAAAGGTGAACATCCCAACAAAGGACTTCTATATTTTTTGACAATCTAGAAACTATCTAAAAGCCAATTTCCTGGGAAGCTTCTTGTTAACAAATAAGTGATACAATAAAAATGAAACTCCCAGTTTGAGCATGAAATTCCGATTGTTAAGCAAGAACACATCTAGGGCCTGTTTGGATACATAGATTTAAGGCATGGATTCCTAATATCTTGGATTTTAACAAAATCTATTGTTTGGATTGCTTAATGACTAAGAAACTTAAACTCAGGAAAAATCAAAATCATGGAAATAAGACCTACTTTTCCATGCTTTCATTTTCACACCAAAACTTGTTTTTTTGCATTTTCAAGGTTAATGGATTTTATGAAAATTTTGGAAAGTGAAAGTACTTAAATTTTTTTAAAGAGAATCTATCTCAAAATTTTTAGAGAGTGAAATTATCTCAAATTTTAACTTTTAGAGGGAGAAGTATGTTAAAGTTTTAGAGACAGAAACTATGTTAAAATTTTAGAGAGAAACTATGCTAAAATTTTAGAGAGAGACAATACCAAATTTTTTTAGAGAGATGAACAATCTCAAAATTTTTAGAGAGAGAAACTATCTCAAATTTTAACTTTTAAAGCGAAAAAGTATGTTAAAATTTAGAGAGAGAGAAAGTACCAATTTCTTTAGGGAGATGAACTATCTCAAAATTTTAGCAAGAGAAACTATCTCAAATTTTAACTTTTAGAGAGAGAAAGTATGTTAAAATTTTAGAGAGAGAGAGTATGTTAAAATTTTAGAGAAAGAAAATACCAAATTTTTTAGAGAGATAAACTATCTCAAAATTTTAGAGAAAAAAACTATCTCAAATTTTAAGTTTTAGAGATAAACTATCATAGTTTAGAAAGAGAAAGTATATACAAATTTTTAGAGAGAGAAACTATTTTAAAAAAAATTAGAGAGAGAAACAATCTCCCATTTTAATTTTTAGAGAGAGAAACTATATCAAATCTTACGTTTTAAAGAGAAAATATTTTTAAAATTGGAGAGTGAAAGTATTCTTAAACTTTTAGAGAGAAATTATTATAAATTTTGGAAAGAGAAACCGTCAAAAGTTTTTGAGAGAAATATTTTTTTTAGGGAGAAACTATATCGAGTTGAGGTTTAAAGAGAAACTATCTCGAATTTGGAATTTTAGAGAGAGAAACTATTTAAAATTTTTTGGAGAGAAACTATCTAAAAATTTTTGGAGAGAAACTATTTAAAATTTTTTGGAGAGAGAAATTATCACAACCTTTATGTTTTAAAGAGAAAATATTTTAAAATTTTGGAAAGATAAACTATATCAAAATTTAGGTAGTGAAAGTGTCGAAAATTTCTAGACAGAGAAACTATCTCAACAAAATTTAGAGATAAACTATCTCAAAATTTAAGTTTTAAAGAGAGAAAGTATATCAAATCTTAAACTTTAAAGAGAGTATCAAATTTTAGAGAGGTACTATATTAAATTTTAAAGAGAAACTATTTCAAAATTTTAGATAGAGAAAGTATCTCGAACTTGAAGCTTTAGAGAGATAAAGCATCTCAAAATTTAAGAGAGTAACTATATCAAATTTTAGAGAGAGAAAGTATATAATTTTTTTTAAAAAAATAAACTATCACAAAATTTTTAAAAAGATATTATCTGAAATTTTAGCTTTTAAAAAAAGAAAATATGTTAAAATTTGAGAGAACAACTATATCATATTTTATAGAGTGAAACTACTTAAAAATGTTTAGAGAGAGAAACTATCTTAAAATTATTGAAGAGGAGAGCCACCTCAAATTTTAAGTTTTAGAGAGAGAAACTATCTTAAAATTATTAAAGAGGAGAACTACCTCGAGTTTTAAGTTTTAGAGAGAATCTTAAAATTTTAAAAAGAGAAACTATATTAAATTTTAGAGAGTAAAGCACCTAAAATTTTAAAAAGATAAATTATCTCAAAATTTTTAAATATACAATTTCAAATTTTAAATTTTTGATAGAAAGTATATTAAATTTTAGAGAGAGAAACTATATCAAATTTTAGAGAGATAAACTATATCAAATTTTTATAGATATACTATCCTAAATTTTGAGTTTTAGAGAGAGACTACATATAAAAATTTTAAAGACAAAAATTATATCAAGTTTTGTTATCAAACAATGGACATAAAAGTGATTGCAAGGAATCCATGAATTTTGTATAATTTATCCAAATAAGAGATTTGAAGAATCCATGACAAAAATCCTTGATATTGAAAATCAAAGATTTCTTTAAGATTTCAAATATCTAAGACTCCTAATTTCCTCCTATCCAAACAGGCCCCATGAGAATTTTTAGGACCCCAATTTCGAGATGTAATTTGGCCCCAAATTATAGGTATTAACCTCTTCAATCTAGTGACCAAGTTAAAAGGAAAGAAAAGAGAAAAATCATGACATGCACAAGCGTCTTGATATTAAGTAAAGACGATCCATAACTTGGACAGTCGACTCCAAGGATTTGAGAACACAATAAATTTTTTGTTTTAAGAAAAAGACATCTCAGCATTCAACAGTGGATACCAAATTTCACTTCAAATGACCTTGGCATTTTTAGCTCAAGGGAGTAAGATATCCAGCCATGGCGCAATGCAAAGCAGACTTTTTCCAATTATGTTACGACTTCTTCCAATGACCAGCCATTTGAGTACATTGACTTAGAGGGAGGATTTCCAGCCATAGGAGGACGATGTCTCTCGCTGAAATGAAGTTAAAATGCACCAATTTTTTATTTAGTCGCAGATTCAGGAGGATTGTAGAGGCTAATAGCCGGACATTGCAATATGACACTTCTAATGGGTTTTGAGGAAAGGTAAACGATGTCGAAGAAAAGATCGCCGTAGGTTCTAATTTCACTTAACAAGGAAACAGAGGGCAAGTCAGTCCATTTCATCAACACCACCATACCTCTGTTAAGAAGAAAAGGACAAATGAATACTGTACAGAGGTTTTCATAGGAACAAACAAAACCTAAGAAGAAAGCATCAAGGATATTCCAAGAAATTTCCATTCACTAGCACTCCGTGAACCTAACTGAGCCAGCGAGCAACACCATCTTCTTCACCAACAGCAGCCAGGATCTCAACACATACATCCAACACGGCCTGCAAACCATCAAGTATATAATCGTGTTATGATAGACTCTAGGAGCTGTTTTATATGGTGCAAGTACAGTCATGCAACTCATTAAGAAAGGCAAACAGTGAGTGATTGAAGAGGCAAGTCAGTATATGATATAAACATAAGGTATCCAACATCAGCCAATGGAAGCAATTGACGCAAATAAAAACTGATAAATATAATACAAGATTCCTTTGGCAGAAGAAAATAAATGCTCCCACAGAGAGGCCACACCATATGCTAAACAATATCAGCTATCATGTGCAAGCACCACACCAATAATTAAGCGTTGAACCTTCATATAAATTTTAAGCATGCAAGATCAAGAACAAAAGCTCGCATGCAAGGTTCTTTAGCCCCGTGTATTTTCTCTTCCTTCTGCACCAAAATAACTAATGTGGGTACTACAATATTTTCTCTATTGCATTGATAGCTAGGTGAGCTCAAGGAATTCCTAATGCATTTGTCTAGAGTCCCATGACACCATTCTGATTCTTGCAGTAGTTCTAGCAAGGATCTCAATGTAAAGAAGCAAATCTGTAATCCATCAATCGCAAATTCGTTGCGGATGTTACCAGATGAAGCAAAGATATTTACTTGAAATAATTATGCAGAAAACATTACTTACCAAGGGATTTCTACAGTTCACTAGCCGACACTCATCTAGTGAGGAGCCTTCCAACATCCAACTCTCCCAAACATCAAAGCTGTGACTGGCAAATACAAATTCCATTCTTCTGTTTATCTGAAAAGAATAAATACCAAGTTAAAACCATAAGGAAATTTATGCCATGTCATGCCATTAACTAAATTTAACAAGTAACTATGTCGCATAATTACGCATGCTTACGGTTGAAAGAATCCATAAGATGACGGCAGCAATGGACAAATGACATATTTGTTTTAAATCTAAATATAAATGCAATTCCCAACAATACTTCAGCTGCATAGAACTTTCACCAGACCAAAGAGCATATAAACTTCCAAAAGAGGGAGCAGCCAAGAGGTGTCTTAAGTTCTCTATGACTGTCAGCTTGGCTTTCAGTCTAGGACTTTGCTAGACTAAGTAGGAAACCTGCGCCCTGGGCTAGAGGCTTAGTGCCTTGATGCATCACCAATGTGCGCTTACACGTACCTTATTGAGGTAGGCTTAAACCCAGCAGTGGTTGTCTGACCCTAAAGGACCCGGTATAAGTCTCCTATGAAAAGGATGGAGACTTGTGAGGACAAGGGCATAAACCCTTCACTAGTCATCCTTCACATTGTGAACACGTTTTAGACGCATTGACCAAGGATTGGTCAGGGACTTGGGATTGATTGGAAACCGGGGATAGATTTGTGTGCATGTATCAAGAGAGGATCGCCTTGCACCGGGATGGTGCATCTATCTAGGATGGACATGACTTATCCTTAGGGAAGCACCTGAATCAGAGGTAACTTTGTAGTCCATCTAATCCTTGGTTGACATTGATAGGCCAATCATGAGCCAGTACAATAGAGACATGTGGGTCGTGAGTCTATTGGTTTAATTTGGGACGAGAATAATTAAAGCATTAGATATGGCGTACCTAGTTACAACTTTATCCCACAGCATGCTCACTCTCAGTGGCTCTTTTCAGTAAATTTCCAAGTGCATTTCGAGAGAAATAAATTAGTTTTTGTTTTCTAAAAAAGGTCACTTTCAATGTATTGTGGAATTGTTAAAAGGACCAAAGATATTTATAGAAAAAATTTGTTCTCTAAAGCACAAAGTGCTTGGATCAAAAAATATTAATTTGTAGGAAAATAAGGGGATAAACTGTTTTCACATAGGGCACTAGTGGGCCACATTGTGTGGCACAGGAGTGGCCACTTGGAGGACCTTGAAGGATGTAGGCCCATTGACCATGGAGTCCCACGGGGCACAAATTGTAGTCCAAGTTGGACTAGGGCGCCTATAAGTGCTCATGTGTGTGGTGCGTGCCTCTTAGATGACACCTTTTTTTTTTTTTTTTGAGAATGTTCACATTTGTATTAATAAAAGGAGATTACAGTGTAGATCATGTGTATATAAACATATACAAAGTTTGACATACCTGCTTGGCAGGTGCCATTTACAATGCCTAGCAGGGACCAAAAATAAAACCTCAAAAAAGCTCAATGGTGACACTGATTAGAAGGGAGGAAGAAACTTCTAGACAGCGAGAGAAATGTTGAGGCGAGCACCATCCCTAGCTACAGTATCAGCAGCTGCATTTGCTTCCGTGAATACATGTTTCCAGGTGATTCTATGGGAGCCACATATGACATCTAGTTCATCAAAAAATGGACCCAAAAGTCTCCAAGGGCAGGGAGCACGGCCAGAGGCCCAAGAAATCACATTACTAGAATCTCCTTTAACAACCAAATCCAAGTTCTAGAGTGGGTTAAATCTCTGGAAGCCTTCGAGCAAAGCCAGAGCCTCTGCGGATGTAGAATCTGAGACCCCAGCAGGGGAGTATTGGAGGAGTGTGGTACCATCTGAGTTTCTGTATAGGCTTCCAATGCCGGAGGGGCCGGATTGCCGGGGGAACAACCATCAAAATTTAACTTAAGGTGGCCATATTCGGGAGGCCTCCACAGAAAGAATCGAGATATCTTCTGGGCCCTAAGGAAAAGGAGATTTTGCCAATTGAGAAGAGTTCAGAAGAGGAATAGATACAGAGGATGCTGTGATTCTTACTCCAAAAAGACACAAGGGTGTGAAATTTCTCCATCAAGGAAGGAATGGAAGCCTTTTCTCCGCTGAAGATACAGGTATTTCTTTCAAGCCATAAGTACAGCTGAGATCGAAGCCCTCCACAGGAAGAAGCTGGAGTTTGTCCAAGGTGTGTGGAGGCAAGCAGCAAAGAGCTGAGGGATGGAATGTGGAGTAACCCAGGTCCAATTGAAGAGATGAAGGACATAGGACCAAAGAACTAAATCAGTGTTACAGTGAATAAAAAAGGTGGGCATTGGATTCTTCAGCCCTCAAACATAGCACACATCTATTTGGTAGGGGAACTCCTTTTTTTTGGGATATTATCTAAAGTAAGAACTCTTTCGTGTGCAGTGAACCAAGTGAGGAGTGGGCAGTATGGTAAAAGGATGCTACATTAAAAATCCTATCAGGGGGATAAAAGTTTGTGCAAGGCTTGCGGACAAAGCAGAGAAGGCAATAATCTCGTCATCAGTGAGGAATCTCCTGAAATTTGGGTTCCCCAGTAGTAGTAAATCTGTCGGCTACTGTGGCCTGAGGCTCAGCTGCGATTCTGAAGAGGGACGGGAACTGGTCCTTCAAGGGGTATTCTCCTAGCCAAACATCTAGCCAGAAGAGGACACAATTACCCAGTCTTCGACAAAAACGCAGCTTCTAAAAAGAGGTCATGGCATCGCAGAATGGATCGCCAGCAGATAACTGGCTGCTAGTACTGTAGGATGGGACCCACGCATGGTCACCTCAGCAATATTTGTGGAAGACCACTTCTTTCTAGAGATGAGATAGTTTGGTGGCAAAGCGCCACCACCATTTGCCAAGCAAAGCGACGTTCGTGGATTTAAGGTTTCAGATACCAAGACCCCCTTGGGCCTTGGGAGAGCAAACCTTTCGTTAATGGTTGATCAAGTTTGATAGATTCACTTTCAGAAACAAGAAGGTCTAGTCTTGGAGGAATAATATCAACCACTTGACGCCCATCCGATGCATTAGCTATGGTTATTTCCAATGGTTTAAAAAACGGATTGGTGCCCCAGATCGGGCACCCCAAAAAACCATCCGAATAGGTGAATCGGGAATCGTTCGTATTCGGCTTTAAAAAAATCCAAAAAAATTATTAAAAATCGTTATAAATGTTGCATTATTGAAATCCAATAAGAAATGGGGGTACTACATTAAGAACTTTCATTTTTTTGCATCAATATGCGAATATTGAGATGTTCTTTCCCTGCATGAATAAATTTAAAATTTGTCTTATAATATCATCTAATTTTAAAATAATTTATTTACAGCTATAATAAAAATAATACATTATATAATTTATAATATAAATAAATAAACAAATAAAATACAGATTTGGTTATCAATGTATAATTATTAATTGTAATAAACATGATTCAAAAGACAAAGGTGTGAAGCATACAAATAAATAAATATACAAAAGTATAGAATTTAGAAACGTAAATTTGTAATTACGTTATAATAAAAATAAATAAATATCATACTTGCAATGTGGGATAGTTGACAAAGAAACTTTAGAATAGATTTTACCTCTTGCTACCTACAAGAACATAATTGGCTAATCTTCATATAAAACATTTATTAAAATAAATTTTTTTTCATAATGTTAATATTATTGGCCTAAAAGATAATATTTTAAGAGCTTACCATTTAATTACCAAGGTATTGTGCAAATATGTTTTAATTACTAAGGTATTGGAGCTTAGAAGTAGGTATTGGGGCTTATAAATGTGATGGCAAGTGGGATAAATCCCACATCATCGATTTTGAGGAGTGAACATGTATATAAAACGTTGTCAACCATCTTGAAGACCATGTGTTGCCACGCGTGAGGGCATTAAGCTCTTAGAAAAGCTTACGTGAGCCCCAAGGAATTTATTTTAGAAATAAGCAATGATGACAGTGGCACGTGTAACAAGGCATTGGCAATGAACCAGCCTGGCATAAAAGACAAGGGAGTGATGACTTTGATTTGCTTGCATAAAAAATAAGGGAGTGATGACTTTGATTTGCTTGCATAAAAGACAAGGGAGTGATGACTTGATGACATCAGGATCATTATGTGGGCCACTGGCATCGGATTTTTTCAATAGAAAAAGCTAAAAAAAGATGGAACCTCTCGGATCTTGTTTTATTAGTGAATCCGAAACGGTATAGCCGATATCCGACCCGGATTGCCCGATTCAGAATCGGATCGACGATTTTTTAAACACTACCTTTTTCTATTGAAAAAATCTGATGCAGGCGGCCCACATGATGATCCTGACGTCATCAAGTCATCACTCCCCTATCTTTTATGCCAGCAAATCACTTGTCTTTTATGCCAGCAAATCACTTATCTTTTATGCCAGCAAATCAAAGTCATCACTCCCTTGTCTTTTATGCCAGGCTGGTTTATTGCCAATGTCTAGTTACACATGCCACTGTCATCGTTGCTTATTTCTAAAATAAACTCCCTAGGGCCCACGTAAGCTTTTCTAAGAGCCCTCACACGTGGCAACACACAGTCTTCAAGTTGGTTGACAATGTTTTATATACATGTTCACTCCTCAAAAACTAAGATGTACGATAAATCCCTCTTGCCATCACATGTATAAGCCCCAATACCTAATTCTAAGCTCCAATACCTTAGTAATTAAAACAGATTTGCACAATACCTTGGTAATTAAACGGTAAGCTCTTAAAATATTTTCTTTTAGGCCAATAATAATAACATTATGAAAAAAAAAAAAATTTATTTTAATAAACATTTAATATGAAAATTAGCCAATTATGTTCTTGTAGGTAGCAAGAGGTAAAATCTATTTTAAAGTTGCTTTGTGAATTATCCCACATTGCAAGTACGATATTTATTTATTTTTCTAATTTTATTACAATGTAATTACAAATTGACCTCTCTAAATTCAATACTTTTGTAGATCTATTTATTTGTAAGGGTCACACCTTTGTTTTTTGAATCATGTTTATTGCAATATTATAATTAATAATTATACATTGACAACCAAATCTTG